AACTGAAACATGTTTAATGTGACTTCAAGCTAAACCTATAACTCGGGGAAATCCCAGAAATGGACCACAAAGATTATAAGAGAGAGTGGACCAGAACATCTGCAGCTTCTAGACATGACAGAAGATCTGTAGCCACAAAATTTCAACAATATGATTGCCTAAATAAGCTCAACATAAAGATATTACTAGCTGATATGCTGACAAGGATTAGAAATTTCTACAAGGTCCAACCATTTGGAAAGGTGCAAAAGGAAAGAAAATGGAAAACTATAGGTGGTCAGTGCTTGCTGAGAGAGAAGCAGTATGCTCCAGAAAAGAGATTCTGCATAGATTAAAAACTTCAAGTGGTAAGGAATGGACACAATTTCATAAAATCAAAATTAAATGAACACAATAAGTTGTATATTAACTGAAGAAAGAAGAGGTTATGTATTTTTGAGTGAGAGGGAAGAAACAAGGGGAGTTCAAAGGACAGGAATGATGTAGAAGCAATTCTCATGTATAAAGTTTTCAAAAAATATTTTAAATCAACAACAGAAGAAATAATACAATGCGTTTGACATAGTAGGACTATCCTGAATAAAATTCCTTCAAAATAAATTCAACTATATATACATATATATATATATATATATATAATTTTTTCAATTCCAAAAAAGAAAGGATGTTTCAATGTGTCAAAATAATGGATATAATAAAGTTATGATAATCAGTGTTAATTGTCAGCTTGACAAACTCTAGAATCACCATGTGATGGGCCACTGGCCATGCCTTCTTAGGGTAATTTGCTAATATTAATTGCTGGGAGAAGACCCATTTTCACTATGGGCAAGATTATTTAATGGGCATGGGAATCACATAAGTGTAGAAATCATGCTGATCACAAGTTCACATTTGTTCTTCCTTGTTTCCTATTAGTAGGTTTTTTCCTACTTCAGAATATTTGTTTTTTTTTAAAAAATAATTAAAAATAGAAATTTGAATATTAGTGTTTATAAGGAGTTACTCTTTCCTGATTAAATAAAATATTCAGGTTCAGTCTTTTTTACTTATTTACATTCAGGAAAGAAAACACAAGATACCAAAGGTGAATAACACACACATGCTATGGCACATATCCTTTTGTACACACATACAGGAACATTCACGCATATACACACACATAATTTCACAAAGCACACACACACAGAAATGAACATGATAGTAAATGTGATTTTAAAAAATCAAAAACAAAATACACAGATGATATTAATCATAGATGGTATCCAAGAGCAGGACAGCATAATCCCTAACATCGATCTATAAATATCGGGTCTTATAAGTACAGATAAGAGCAGTCTACTCTCTTCATCAGGGAATCTTCTCTTTGCATAGGGTTACTACAGAAAACCACAACCAACCAAAATACAGAGTTGTGGAGCACAGTCCCACACTAATGGAAAATTAAAAGAATGTAAGGAAATTCCATACGTTTTGGAAAACTAAACTTCAAGAACTGCCCACTAAGTGCTGTGAAAGATGTAGTACATCAGGAAAGCTAATTCATTTACAATGCATTGCAAAATATAAGCCATTTAGGGATATATTTGGTACATCTCTAATAAAACCTATCAATGTAGTCTTCACATTTGATCCAATAGACATGCCTGTTGGAATATACCCAAAGAATTTTAATATCATCTCCACACTAAATCCTCTGTATGAATAATAACAATTAATATCTTGGCTCATAACTCACAAACTTGGAAGTTGTCTAAATAACTATCAATAGGCGAATGGTTTAATGAACTTTGGTTAGTCTAAACAGCAGAATGTTATTCAGTGCCAAACCAAATTGAATGTTCAGGTTTTGAAAAAACAAGCAACTAATACATTCATATTATTAAATGAAAGATTCCAGTACTCAGAGGTGACATTCTGTATATTATAAATAATAGAGAAAAACTGTAGAAATTTTGAAAAGAATTGGGAGAGTGGGAGATATGGGAAAAGAAGAGATAAAACAGCAGAACTTGCAAGATTTTAAAGGCAATGAAAATACATGTCATAATACTTGAATGGTGGATACGATTAAAACACATGACAAAACCATAAAATGTATGACACCAGGAGTGAATTCTAAGACATAAGATAAGGATTTTAGATTACAGTAACTGAATATAGGCTCATTGGTTACAACAATTTTAGAATTTGGTGACAGACAATGAAATGGAAACACATATTGGTGGGCAGGAACATATGGGAACCTTATATTATGAATTTTCATAGTATCTAAAATACTCCAACAAATCTACTTAATCAAAATTTTAAGAAAGATAACAGGCATACGTGCTAGGATGGACATGTAAATGTTGTCCTCTGATTGCCATACATGTTCTATATGACATGAGCATTACATCCAGACACAGGAACATGTACGCATGCACACACACAGAGAGAGAGAGAGAGAGAGAGAGAGATGAAACCTTTAAAATCATTTTTCTGTATGAAAGTTTGAAACATGAAAAACTAAAAGCCAAATAAAAAATATCTATCACCTAAATTTGTCATAGAAGGACAATTAATGTCAAAAATTTAAAATTCTTTTGAATTTTTACTGGAGATTAACAAAGAATTGCAAGGACTGGGTAGAATCTCAACTAAAAACAACTAAAAAGATGGCTGACATTTGTGAGACATGGTCAAGCAGGGAAGACGTAAAGATCAGTTTACCCTGCCCTTTTGGCTTCCTAGAGAAAATTTTACTTTTCACCAGAAAGAAATGACCACTTCAAAGGACTTCCTGGGCTTTGAGGACAGGATATGCCAATCAAAATATTTTCTGCCCATATCAAAGCAAGGAACCCTTTCAACTTTTCATCTTATATTTTGTCTTCCTGAATCCCTAGCTTTAAAACAAATTCATATTAGTTTGAGAATTTCTGGTTGGAGACTCTCAAATTTCCAGAATTTCCAACACAGTATCTGGAACATTCTTTAAAAAGATAGAAAATTATACAAAAGTACAAGTAATGGAAAGATAGGGCCTGAATTTTTTTGTTATTCCACAAACCTTAATTGTCTAATGTCACAAATTAATTATATTAGTATGGATAACTTAGGTTCAAATTGTAAAACATAAACAAGTAGTTGTATTCAAATAGAAGTAAAAACTGAGTTGATTGGTTAACAGGACAAAATCACCTCACAGTGAAAGTAATGTTGCAAATTTTGACTACACTAATTTTAAGTTTTAAATTCTTTATTTTAACTAATAAAAAATTAAATACTTAATACTTAAATGTATACAAATATGACCTCTAATTATAAATTAGTATCGTTATGCAAGCCATTCAACATGAATCTACACAAAAGTGTATCAGACAACATTAATATATTTACAAGTATCTACCCTAAATGAGCACTGACCTTGGAGTTATTTGGTACTTTTTTTAAATTCTGTTGGGTTTTGATATAACGTCTTGGGAAATTACCTTTAAATTTGATAAAAACCCTAAAGTGATGATGATATTTTGAAATGATAATAATATTTTCTTAGTTCATTGAGAAGCTTTCATTTATTTTCTGTAAAATATTTCTAATTATCTCTCAGAATTTAGCCATAAGCTACAATTACCTTTTCATATTATAAAATGAACTGTCAAATCTGCATCATGTGGCTATGAAATATCAAGATTCTCTAATAACTTCAAGAATAAATATTTCCTTTAACAAATTTTAATGAAAAAGGTGGGAGAATAGCAGCAAGCAGTGTGCTACTAAATCCTCACAGTTCTGAAGCAAAGTCATAAATCCGTGTAATCAAAACTGTGAGACACATTGAATGGCAAGGCAACCTTTTAGTAAAAAGAAGAATAACAAATACCAGACAAAATAAACAAACATTAGGTAATACGGTTATAATGAATAAAGCAAACTGCTACTTACAGTGCTAGACAAGAAGGGTAGAAAAGAGGGCAAAATTCCTCTCCTTATGACACATTTCATTGGATTTATGTCTAATGTTAGATTCTATGGTATCTTAGAGTTGTCCCAGTTTACAGGATGTCTTAAGGTTGTGATTATGCAGGTCATCTAGGGTCCATGGGACTCATCAGTCTGTGTGGGCATAGAGGATGTATGATCTGAGCTAAGTCTGAAGGTTGGACATGGTATGCCAGGGTAGGGTCAGAAGTATTTGTCCAGTGGGCTCCATTATCAACTGATTATTGATTATCAACTGAGGTGTGTACTCATTAGTCAACTCTTGGAAATGCTAAGAACCTTAGTGTAAATAAAATTAGGTAAGCGGTATCATGAATATTGTAGTACCATACTGAAATAAATAAACCCCAAATCACCAAATCATACAGCTGAGATGGATTAATATGCAAATATTAAGATTTATTCAATTTTTAAAAAGAAACCAAGATCAATGGAGTCATTTGAAAAAGCAAATTCTGTTTATGAAGTTACATTTTAAAAGGGTACGTGAAATACCTAACAATTAAAAGGCAAATTAAAGTTTAGAATTTGAAACACAAGTTCTGAGGAATGTGAAGAGGAGTAAATACTGAGAAGAAATCAAAGAGAGCTAATGCACATTTGTTTTTGGAGATAGTTAGCTAGGTAGAGCTAGGAAAGGTGACTGAAAGCTACAGTGGAAGTATATGCTTTTTCTTTACTTCATTTTGCTCTGGGAACCGGATTATTGTTCCCAAGACAGAGTTTTAGTGACCTTAGTCATACAGAAAAACTACATATAATTGTGGATTTGAATCAACTCCTTAAATTCATCACAGAATTCAGAGGTCAAGTCCCAAAGGTATTACTGATTTTGTTATTTTAGAATATTTAGTTATAAATTATTTCTGCTAATTGAGACAATATAGAAAAATGAATCATTACTGTTTGGAATCATTTGAGTATACTTATACCTAGAATTTCCTGGTAGACTGTGACAAGACTAAGCTGGGGAGGAGGTCTTCCTGCACATGGCCCAGGTCCTGGGCACTAGAAATTTAATGAATTTTGTCTTCACAGTTGCATGAAGCTTTGCAGCCTTCTTTAGTCAGTTCATGTTCACAGCTTAGCGATGCTTTCAATTCTGGACAGTTAGAATACTTATCTTCATAGTAACACCTGTTTGCTGAAAAAAAGAATAGAGATATTCATTGCTTTGTTATTATTTTCCTCTACCAACAGTGACAAAATAAAACATGAATGTGGAGAAAGGAATTGAGTAAATGGATGAATTTCCATTAAACTGAGGCTTTGTGAGATGTCTTTTAGTAGAGTTGATATATTTCTTCACTCAAAAAAGGCTTAAGAAAACTAACTTGAGTGATTCTTTGAGCAGCTGAGCTACTGAGAGTTGAGAAAGATGGCTCAGCAATTAGGAGTCTTCATTCGTTTTGCAGAGAAACTGGTTTTGATTTTCAGCATCTACATGGTAGCTTACGGCCACCTGTAACTTCAGCTCCATGGAACCAAGTGTCCTCGTCTGTCCTTCATAGTCATGGGGCCCAAATGTAGAATACATAAATATATTCACACATGTACAAACAAATATTTATAAACATGAAATAAAGAGAAATATTTTAAAAAGAAACTCATTATTTAAAATGTCAGTCATTATGCAAGTACTTTTTAAACTTAAATACAGCTAGTATTCAAACCCTATATTCTCAGCAAAGCAAGTTTTATTAATATGTTCTAAAGCCACTGTGTCTAGTAACCTCTTTATGTGAAAATACTGAAACACTGAGCATTAAATCATTCCATAATGTTCTGCTGTCCATGATTGCTCTAGGCATAGCTTCCATCTTTCATAATAGTGAAGGTTATCTTATGAAGACAGATACTTGGAAAAGCAGATAGTGGAGAATTTGTTCTGGGTATTAGACATTCATATTCAAATGCCCTCCAGTGACGACAAACTAAAGAAAACTCATTCAAAATTCACTGCCGTACAATCTTTGTCATGCCTTTGACGTACATCTATAGCTCATGAACCCACATTTAGCTCACCCAGTCTCAGAAAATTGGAAATTCATAACAACTAAATCATTCAAAATAAGAACTTGTTTATCTTTTGTACTTTTGGTATTATTTGTTGAGACAGAGTCTAGAGTGTATCCCAGGCTAAAATCAAGCCCATACCATTGTACCTCTGCTAATTCCACTTCCAGAGAAACACCACTACAGACACATGGCTTGAACTCTTTCCCTCTGTGTGGTGGTTCTATGCAGGTCCTACAGCCAGCAGGAAAACCAAACCAAAACAAAACAAGGGATGCATGGAAAAGATGAGAATGAACGGCAGCCCAATTTTATTGTAACAGCTGCTGGGCTAAGTCTCCTAGAGTCTTGCCCAGATCTTTTTACTTTAGCCATATTTAAGCACAGCAAAATTTTGGGGAAAAATGTTTTCTGATAACAATTAACTCACTCCACTCCCAAGTACACAACAATTTAAGACGTGTTTACACTGAGATTCTCTACAAAGTACTTCTGGCTTCTTTCATAAGAATGGGTACTGTTGACTCAGAGATAGATTTAGGGTCTAGGGAAATGACTGAAGTAAACATAATGCCTTGTGGGTGTCAGAATTGGCCTGGCCCTAGATAGCATACAAGTCAATTAGGGTGTTGTAAAATAAAGGTGACATCACTTATAAGGATGCAATTTATGGTCTAAGATCAATGCTCAAGATTTACAGATAGGGGTCTAGGGTAAGGAGAACACAAATTCTGGATGATACAGCACAGCCTCTCTCATCTGGGAGCAAAGAATCACCAGGATGTAAGACAACATCATTCCTGACATTACAGAAAGAGTAGTTATGCACCTCATTCCATTGAAGAGATGAACTATATGTCTAACTTTCCTGCCTTCTCGAGTGCTTATCTGTATGCACAAGACTTTTTTGCCCTCTACACCTATCCACATATATACATACACACACACATATGTGTGTGTAGATATATATATGTATATGCATGTATGTATGTATATATTCATCAGTACTGAACAAGCATTTAACAACAATGTATTATTATTCCTCTCTATATAACCCATTTTTGTAACGTTTGCACTAATAACACAAAAACAACTAGCTCTGAATCTATACTTCCTCGTTGGATCTTTCATCATGTTTTTCCTAGAGGCTTTTTGGAGGATGTGATTTCTATTACACATGGGAGATGGCAGCAGAAAGATCAGGAGATTGAGGTCAAACCAGATTACACGGTAATTTCTAGGTGAAATTTGCTAGTGTAGTTAGACCCTGTTTCAAAACAAACATTAGCTTAAACCATGAATACATAAATTTTAAAAACTACTAAAAAGAAAATAAACTTTTTCTTTCTATTTCTGTTAAAGTCTTTCGATTGGTTGTTTGTTACTGATAGGATAGACCCCATTAAAAGTACAGTCAGCAGAGCTGAGTATATTTGCTCTTTCTTTTTTAGTTTATAATCTTAATATCATTAGTACTTTGAACTTTATCCATACAAATACACAATAAAGAATTCTAAAATTCATTGGAGAATGCAGAAAATCCCAGCGAATTGCCACTAGCATCTACCATAATAATTTTGATATTATATTCCATTTTCATAAACACCTTATGTAGCCCAGGTTAACCAAGAATTTGATCTATATTCCAACCTTGGTTGGAACTCCTGATTTTTCTTCTGCTCTCCAAAATGTTGGGATTACATTTATTCTTTGAATTTATATCCCTAATATACTAAAAATGAAATACCATGACATTCATTTTGCCCCCTTCTTGTGATTAAATGATAAAGTTTTTAATGAACTTACATTATGTACAGATTTTATTTAGAATCTAAAAGTGCACAGAAAATTGCAAAAATAAACCTAACTGGTGATTAAGTAGAAGGACTCACAGGACAACTTAGGGCCAGTGAGATAGGTCAAAATAAAGGTACTTGCCACTAAACTATTTGAGGTCAGTCTCCTACACCCATATCATTGAGGGGGAGAAGCAATTTACATAATCGGTCCTTTGACTCAAGACACAATCACACACAGATGCCATGGCATACATGCATTTTCCTATACATATACAGAGAGACATAAGTACACATTCACAAATAAATAAAAATGTAACACAACATTGAAATGATGCTCTGGAGGACCTTAGGAATTTTTTGTGTTAAGTTTCTTGGTGGGCAAAGAATTGTAGTATCTGTCTTCCTTCTCTGGCCTGACCTGTGTTCTATTACCTCAACTACTTAGATTTGTATTGCTTTCTCTTCTTAAAATGCCAAACTTAATATCTTATTGACTAGGGGATAAGAAAATTCGCTTTAAATTTTATTGAACTACATCCACAGAAATATTTCTCTAGACTCCAATAACAATAATACCAATATTGATACAAGTATGCACTGTATCTTCACAGTTTATGTTTCTTTATACTACATAAAGTATCATGTTTTTTAATGACAAAAGTACACACACCGTAAACAAAGGAAAATTCGTAATTCAAATAAATGATGTTAAGTACATTTTTGCCTCTTGAACATAAGGCCATGCTATGAAATCTTAAAAAAGATTGTCATTTTATGTTGTTATATTTGTATATTAATAACACTTACTGCACAGTCCATTGTCACAGTCATTAGGACAACTGGCACATGGTTTTCCTTCTGTGTAAGGGGTGTATAGCCTGTTCTGTAAATTACCGCTGAAATTGAAAAGCAAAATATAAAATATTTTTAATTTTTCTCTGTATACTCTAATGTTTGCATATATCACACACATATACATATATATATATACACATAAACATATATATATGATTGCTATTAAAAGCGTTAGCTACACCATATAAAAATCTAATGTCTAAGAGTATTCAGATATAGATGTGAAATAAGGAGATAATGAATGCCTTTTCTCGTCAACCATGTTCTATTAACCTGAGCAATTGAAATACGATAAATAAGAATCTAAAGGTTTAGAAATATTTTAATGTAGAAACATTCTCTTCATTTCCTCATGAACCTGGAAAATTCCTAAGACAGTGGAGAACAGGATGCTGCTTAGGTATAAAAGATGCTTTCTATAGAGACAGTTAGAAAAATGCTATGATTCCTGTCTGATTCCTACAGTATGGGAGAGGTCTCCATGATGATGTGGTGAGGTTCAAGAATTTAAGCATAGGAAAGTTTGGGGTTTTCTGAAGGTAGCATGTGGGTATGAGACTTTTATGTTTATAAAAACTGAGAATGTTAATTAGAAAAACACTTTACACAAACCATCTTAACAGTGCAGTATTCTGATAGTGATCAGCCTGTGCCTCGGGAGGATCATCACTTCACTGACTGGCATATGAAAATAGAGAAGTCAGAGTCTCCATTGTGCTAAGCGTGGCAGGCGTGTGCACGCATTCTCCAAAGACTTTCAACAGAACCTCTCTTCTATATAATGCTCTACGTGTTTGAGCAATCTTAAAAATGAAAAGTCATAAAGTATTGTACATGTTCTGCCACGTGCTTCTCGTCATTATTCATCTGATTCTTCTAGGGGCCAGACTCCAGGTGCCTCTCATTAGACCAGACAGCTAGTAGAGTGCTATGGCTTTTTTCTTTGTATTTTCTGTAATGCCAAAAGAAACATTCTTGAAAATTCTTTGACAACTTTCCTTTTCAACTGAGATGCCACACCTTCTGTGTCACCCACAGACAGAGTAGAATCTCTTAAAAGGCTTGATTTGAAAAGACCCTCTGACTCATGTTATGTAAGTTTCTTGTATTGAGAAGATACAAATAGACACAGAGAGATGTCTCAGCAGTTAAGAAAACATCTTTCTCTTTTAGAAGACTTGTGTTTGGTTCTCAGCACCCACTTCAGGTGATGTACAACTGTCTGTAATGCAGTCCCAGGTGATTTGATGCCTCTGGTCTCCATAAGCATCTGCACCTATGGGCACATACCACACAAGGACAAAGATACATGCAGATATAATTTTTTAAAAAAGTGGTTTTTCGAGACATGGTTTCTCTGTAGCTTTGGAGCCTTTCCTGGAACTAGCTCTTGTAGACCAGGCTGGCCTCAAACTCACAGAGATCCACCTGTTTCTGCCTCCCGAGGGCTGGGGTTAAAAGTGTGAGCTACCACTGCCCAGCTATTTAAAAAAAATTAGGTCAACATACATATTATGAACATATATTCATTTTTTCATGGGAATTTTTTAAAGAGCTCAAACATCCATCACAGAAGGTAAGTGAATTTCTGTCTTCAAAATTAAGTTCTACTGAACATGATTTTCAGAATTTTTAGTACATTTTGAGGAGAAAATAATTAAGAGTTTAGCTTTCTTAACCATTGGAAATATATTAAAGACTTCTCAAAGAGCCTTTGAAGTCTAAGATTTAATAAATTCTTACAGGTATAAGGTGGCAGGGGCTGGAAAGAAGGTTCATTGGTTAAGAATTTTTGCTGTTCCTTTAGAGGATCCAAGTTTGATCCCCAATAACCATATCAAGTAGGTCATAATCACTTTAACTTCAGGTCTATGGGATTCAATGCACTTTTCTGGTCTTTGTGGGGTATTGTGCATATGCATAAACAAAGCAACAAAAATTAAGATTAGAAAAATAACAACTAGGCTAGGCATTATTATGATTTTGCAAAAAGATAACACTCTTGGTAATTTATTTCCCTTGGCAGTTTACATAGCACCATCTAATACTATGAAAGCTAGTCTGCAGGAAGGAAACTTCCAGATGTCAAATTGAAGTGGATACTTACAGAGGACAATAGTGACAAACGTAGTGATATCTCACTGGGTGGATAGGGCACTCAGCAACTCCACATCCAACTTGGTGAGAAGAATTCCAAACTAGCTATATACTCAGAGATGAGGATAAGGCACGTGCCATAGAGGAAAATAATGTAGAAAAACAAATAGAAAATATAAATTTAAAGCACTGATGCTCTACTTTGTTTCTAGAATCCTTATGAGCATATTTAAATTATTGAATCAATCTACAGATGTTAAAACAGCCTCAAAAGGCTGATGCTGGTCAGCTCGTCTGGCAACATTAGATGGAGTCACCCAGTGGAATTTATGGAGGCTGACAGTAGCTTCAGCTCCTTCTCAGAGAAGCTGTTCTTTACTATCTTTGACAGTTTCCAACATGATGAGGATGCAGATGTCTGGGCTGAGGCCAGGAAGCTTCATGGCACAATGAAAAGAATAAAAGAATCTACAGACACCAGGAGGACCTTGGTATGATGTGGAATTTCTCTGACACTGCTTTCAACCATTCAGGTTTA